TAAAAATAAAAAAACAAAATTTCTGTAAGTTTATATAAAGAATTATTTTCACTTTTTAGTTTAAAATGCTTTAAAAGCGTGTTTTTTTTATAGTTTTTTTAAACTATATTTATTATATTAATAATCGGCTGGTTCATGACACAGACAAGCGTAACCAAGTTTAAGTGCAATCCGAAGGAGTTTCTACTTGGTTTTGTAACAGTCGACGAAACATGGATCTACTGCTACCAACGTAGCGTCGAAACAGAGGACTTTACTTCTCTAATCTGTTTCGAAGAACGTGACCTCGTACGGATGGCTACGGTTTTCTGGGATTCACAAGGTGCGATCTTTACCGACTACCTGGAGGAGCACAAAACAGTCACACCGCTCTACTATACCGCCGATTCTACTGTGATTCGATATTTAGATAAGTCTTATATTGTAAAAGAGGAAAATTGTAATTCATATATACTTGTATATAATATAGTATAATATATAATATTATGTAGGCAACAAGCCTATAAATTATCTATAAATTAATTAAGGCCTATTTAAGGGCAGTAAAACTGGAAGCCAACTAAAATGCAACGACTAGAGTAATAAAAGTGTCAGATGCAAAATGTATGGTACACACGAAGAAAGAATATATACATAACCGCCACAACGCCACGACGAAACTTTGTAAATTACTTGCATGGGGTGTTAGAGAGATCTATAATTCTAATATTACTCAAGTTCTTACTATATCAATCAGCAGTTGAAAGCTACATCTAGTATGTCAATCGTCAAACAACAGCAACTGACGTTAGCCAACAGCTGTTAACTGAAGTGTGAAATGGCATTTTCATACATATGAACCTAGAAATATATAGCGATGTACTGCAACCGATACCCTGCTTATAATACCAGACTATTTGCAATGGAACGAGAATAACCCTATCAATTTTACGTTTGAAGTATTTCATTATTGTAAATTGACATTTAACTAAGATCTGAAGGAATTTTAAGTCTAAGCATATATCTTGTTTGACAAATTTTGCAATCACTTCTTCTCAAAAAATTAGGTTAATATATCTTAAACCGTTTCGGAAGATATGTGCATTAAATCATATAGGGGCGAAGCCACACCCATTTTACATAAATTTTTAATTAAAAATTTACGTTTAATGGCGTTTTGTGGACGTGACAATGATCCGATTCCGCCCATTTGCAATACCAATAATAGAACATGTGTACCAAGTGTATATATTGCTTAAAGATGCAGAATTTATAACCATAAAAGGGTTTGTGAAGGACAAAGAGTAGTGGATGAGAATTAGTTGTGGAGATGATGAAAACAAAACGAACATAAAAACACGCGCTCTTAAAAGCTTTCGGTGATCGGTTTAGGTATCAGTTAGATTATATATGTTTACACAATAATATTTAAGCACATTTTGTTAAAGCTTTCATAAAGTGATTGGTATTTGTTTGCTTCGCGCTAAGTTCGCAGAGCATTTGTGAAGTGGCTTTTGGGGTCGCCACAATGTCTGTAAGGAATTTTAATGATCACAACACAATTAGTACCGAAAGTAAATTATACACGCGGCTTACTTTAGTGGCTAACAAAACCAGTTAATTTGTACAACGCTAGATTATGGTAGACAGACCAGAGAAAATGCCAAAGGCAATAGGAAAACAAAGCCTTTTTGTGATCATACGTTAACCGCATGTAGTGTAAAAATATTCGATAAGTGGTTGGAAAATTAATAATTGTGCGATCACTAATGAGCCTAGCTGATGGGCATTATTTTCGTTGAATTTTGTTTTTACCTTGCTACTTTAGGTATTGCTTCTACATTGTACTTTGTGATAGGGTACACACTACGTTCCTGGCAGCTTTTTAGCACTCAATAAATTTGTTAAAAATCCAAACGAATAAATTATTTAGAAAATTTGTGCCTGAGGATAGGTGAAGACATTCACAACGTTCTCATTAAAAGGCCCAGTAGGTATACGTGCAGAAAGATCTTTAAAGGCATTTCCTATTTTGATTAAATGTAATTTTGAAATGAAAGTTTCGTGACCTAGTTTGTGAATAAGTCTAACACTAGTCCGATGCCAAGGAACATACATACATATGCAGCAAGTTTCATTGAGATATCTTAGATTTTACTTAAGTAGACAGATGGACAGTCATCTAAAAATCAATTTGTCTCGTCATTATCTTCATTTTTTTTACAACGGTGTTACAAACAACCGTTAGCTAAACAAAAGTATTATACTCTGTGCAATAAATTGCGAGTGTAGAAAAATCGAATCAATCACAAGCGCCAGTTTAATGAAACAGTTCTGGCGCAGCCTGAAATGCAAATAGACATTTTTTAAGCGTGAGATAATATGCCAAACAAGTAAGTAGAAGTTTATACCTTTATTTAGTTTCCAACAACAAGCGAAACCACAGCGACTAAAAGCGACTAAAAACGACCGGTTTGGTTTATTATGCTTCGAAAGCAGGTGTTTGCTCAGAACTCAAGTGTGACTTTAGGTTGTGGAATGTCAAATGCAAAAAGTGGAATGCTACGAGTATTTACAATAGCATATTTCTAAAGCGCTTCGAGGAGCTAGCGATTATGCGCAAAATGTCTTGAAAACAACTAAATTAGTTGAAATGAAAGTTGAAAAGAGGCTGTGTTTAACTTTACTTTAATATTGTATGTTTATTCTATGTTGTTGAAAGTGGAATTTATTAACCAATTAGCTTTTTGGCTTTGTACATCAATCTTAATGAATGTTGGTAACTAAAAGTGTTTGAGGTATTGGTATCTTGACTAAGACATACATATGTATGGACTTGTATAGGGGGTAGACGTCATTCTCGTGAAGTGCATAAGTCCATTGGGGTCCGTTTTAATAAATACAAAATATTGTGAATAAACGTATAGTGATTGTAAGTGCAACCATGTGCATTGTTTCTTGGAAATCAGAAATTGTATAACGTTCCAAGGCGTACATATGTAATTTCGAATATTAATTTGTGCAGCTATTGCGAACCTTATATGATGCACACTGCTCGTGGTTCTGAAGAAGACACCTGCCCGCCTGTTTGTTGTTTTGTTTACGAGTTTCTGAGAAGTGATCGTTTGTTGCAGCAAAGTGCTTGCAATGATCATCAGGTGGCCAATTGCTACAACAACATCATTACGATTTCGTTGATAGCCGCTAAATTATATGCACATGTACTTAACTACAACATGTTTGCCACTCATTACATACAATCTTCGTATCATATATTTGTATATAAAGTGAATAAGTTATTACTATGCTCTTACCGTATCACATTTAAGAGAGTAACAAATGTGTACTTCGAGGAGTATTAAGGAGCTTTTCGGGGTAAATGCCTAAAAATCAGTCTTAATAAAAAATATAGTTTCGCGGTGCGTACAGCTTAAGCCAGTGCGAAAAGAAAAACACAGTTTAAAGCGGCTTATAAGAAACTTCCCACGAATATAATTTGCGTGTAAAGTTGGAGTTTGAGTAAAAAATATCTAATGAATTCAAAGTAATTTCTAATTTTCAAATGTTTTATATGTGTATATATAATTCTATGCACCACTGGAAATTTTAAATAAGCGAACAGTGATTCCAGAGAAACTGTATTGTAGTGCTTAATTTATTATTGTGTTACTTTTTTCCCACAAGAGAGCTACAATCCTTGCAGTCTCAGTATCAGGTGTTAGAGCATTCAATTTGGGCCAGCATAGATCTTTGACAAGCTTCAGTATTTTTATAACGTTTAACTGAGTCTCACGACATACATATATACAATTTAAAGAGTGATAAAATAGAAGAAATGGAAAAGTAGACAGTCATAAACTAGCAAAGTTAGTAAGCTAGCAGTCAGGCATCGACACACTCAGACAAGTGGAAGAAACAAGCCATGATGTCGAGCGTCTAAATGAAATTTATGCGCTTACTTGAAATCACACTTCATTATTCGCTTTCATGCCGGTTTCGGATCGCAACTATAATTGCGAATCTACCGAATGCATACTTGTTCCCAAACATTCTTAGTTTGTTGTCTTAGTTGTCTGCTTTACTGCAAAATTTATTCTTTACACCTACCACATTCGTTATTTTTAGCGTGCTGCCAATTATTTTTACATTAATATTATACCCCGAACAGAGTATATTAAGTTTGCCACGAAATTTGTAACACCCAGAAGATAACGGCGGAGACCCTATAAAATACCTATATACATAAAGGATCATAAAGGAAAGTCTATATATATATACACTAGTTCATCAGTTTTTAAGCTATCGATCTGAAATTTTGCACCTAACCTTTTCTCACTAAGAAGCTGCTCATTTGTCGGAACAGCCGATATCAGACCACTATAGCATCAATCTGAACAATCGGAATAAAGTACATGTATGGGAAACTATTTTATTTGACGAGGTATCTTTACGAAATTCGGCATGGGTTATTTTCTAAGGCAAAAATGTAATCTGCGTTGTTGTTGATTGTTTAGATCAGATCACTATAGCATATAGCTGCCATACGAATTGAACGATCGGAATCCAGTTCTTGTAAGGCGCCTTTCTATTTGTAAAGGGTATTATAGCTTCGGTGCAACCGAAGTTAACGTTTTTTCTTGTTTTAATTAAATTTTTGCACTGTGCTTCTCAGCAACAACAACGGCCAGACAATTATGAACGCCTCTGATAATATCTGTTTGTTTGAAATAGAGCTTATTTGTAATTTAGCTTAGTTTACAGTTTAGTTTATGTATGTGTGCAAATTAGTTGTCTTCTTCAAATGTAACATTTTTGCTAGAGAGCTAAGTGTTTGATCTTTGCCTAAGATATAACAACTTCTTCAGGTGTTGTTTTTGCTCTGCACTATTCCTGTTTCCGGAAAGGTATGGTGCCGATGCGAAGTGGCTTTGCTGGAGAAGTTTGTGTTTAGAAAATAATTTTGAATTTACACTAAGAATAATTTCAATAACAAAAAATTATAATCTTCATTCTTGATATACCTTTTTACACAGTACTGTTAGCTCAAGCTGAGGATATGTTGACTCATGTTGTTGTCTTTTAGTTTTGTTGTTGTCGTTGAACATTTTTCTATTAGGAACAATTTGTATATCAATTTTTAACACATTTCGGCGCTATTCGATTTTCTCTTAAAATAATTACTCACAAAACTCTACCAAAACACTGATTTATGTATTTAACGATTTTGACTTAATTTTTTTTAATTTCAAACACTATACAACTTTTATTTTCACTTCTTGAGTATATAATTTCGATACAACGAGCTTCAAATTATAAAATATTTTGATTTTTTTTAACGCAAAAATTTGTGTGTACTTTAATACTATTCACAATCGAAGCACTTCATAAGGATAGTGAGCTGAAAAGAAAAAAAATCGAATGTTAAATATTTATCATTATTTACCTAATACTTAAAATACAAATATACATGGGCATGTATGTTAGAATATATAAAATATTTGGTAATCTATGTTACTAAGGAAAAACTAAGTTCTGGTGCAGCCAAACAGCCGAAAGTTATGCTAAGCGTAATATATATACATACGCTTTCTCTAATGAAGTCGTTGTTAATGGATCACTATCCTAAAAATGTATAGCAATTTTAGTAACAATCTCTTAATTAGCGGTGAAAATGTTCAGTGTTGGAACAATACTTATAAACACTTAAAATATTTTGACAAATAAATAAAAAATGCAAATTCAAATGCTAACAAATGATATTTTGTTTGAGTTAAATGAACCAGTGTTACGAGAAGCCAGCGCCCCTAAAAAACTATTTGGTATAAAGTGTAGGGTCAGAAATTGGGGTTTTCTCCCATGTGCATAGTAAAAATTCAATGTAACTTCAGTAATTTTTTCATTATAGTGCCAACAGTACCTTTTTATTACAAGTATTTCGGTGTTGCAATTTTCATTTCCAAGTGAACACTTTTTATTTCACTGTTACACAGCCCTGATAACATTACATCAAATTGACATACGAACAACAAACGGCCAAAAAACTTTACTTTTTTTTTAATTTTCGTATTATTTTCTATTATGCTCGTTTTAAATTTTATTATATACATGTATGTGTAAGCATGCCGGCTTGTATGTGTGCGTTTTTTTATTACTTGTCGCTTTTTCTACGCCGAGTTAAAACTGCATATGCTTTCGTCGTGCTTTGCTTTGTAAATTTTTTAGTATTACTCTTTATTTTATCTCCGAAACATCGTTTCCGTCGTCTTCCCGTTTTTTCTGCCTTCGTGCAGGGTTTTCGATGCTTTATTGTTGTTTGTCACACACGCTTCAATTATGTCGACAGTAAACTGTTGGGAAAAAAAGTAATAAACAAGTGATGTCACAAGTGTCGAAAGAACGAGCCACTATTTAACACAATTTCCTTCATTTTAGGCATTAATAATTTTTTTTTGTGTATTGAAACCACAACTAACTGATCACAAGAAATCAAAAACCATATATGTATATTTAGCACTCTAATTATCACTTACATATATATGTATATATACACTTTTTTTTTTACTTTAATTTTATTTCATGTTTTAATTTTTAACTGTGCGATTTTCCTTGCTTTGAAGAATAGGCTTGACCAGCGAATTTGAGCAGATCAAAATTAAGAGGAGCAAGCCGGAGATGAAATATGTGCGAATAAGTATGTATAGGTATATTCGCACGAATTCAGAGCGCAGGCGCATTCGAGACAACCATAAAATAATTCACTTTGATCAACACATACGCGACGAAAGTGAAGTAACGACTAAATTCATATACTTAAAGCTAAAAACTGCGAGGCCCCCTTCAGTGGCGCTGGCGGTGGCGCTCGCTCGCAATGCTGGCAAATATCTCCGCAATCAGCAAAACAGCAAATTGAGAATTGAAATAAAAAGCGAAAAGCGCCAAACAAATACATACATATGTATATAGGACGGGCAGTATATGTATGTATATGTAGCCACAAGAAGGAACCACCACATCACATTTGAGCGTGTTTTTATGCAGATCTCTGTGTACATACGTAAATAACGTATGCTCGTGTTGCGCCGATCGAGAGAGATTGCCCGCTCATACCAGGTGCCTACTTATACCAATGTTTCATGTAACTCATAAGAGAAGGCAATTGTACACAGAACTCAAAAGCAGAAATAAAATATCGCACGGCAAAAGCAACATTAATGAGATAGACAAAGCGAGAATAATCATCGCCAACAACAGAGTTGCCAGTTTTGCTATTTTACAGCTTGTTTTGACTTTAAGAAGCTTTAATTTGAAAGCAAGTGGGTTGATTGTGTCTGCGACGATCACCTAGATCGTAAACTATAAAAAATTTTTTTTTTTGGATAATTTCTAGACGTTTACTACAAATTGGATAATGCCTAGCTAAGGTGTAAACGCTAATTACATACTTATACACAGTATTTACATAACTGCATTATTGTAAATACGTATACATATATATTTATGTACATATCCACCTTTTTGCATGAGCGCATCTATGTGACTATTTATATGCACTTGCGCCAAATCAAATCAGTGATACGGAGAAATATGGAAAGCCAGTTGATTGTAAAAGAACACATACATATGTACACGAAACAAAATATATTTATTGTAAATAGTGTACGTAATAAATCCGATTATAACTTAATTTAACTTTAAACCTGATTATTTTAAATGAATAGTCGAAGTCTACATAATGCAAAGCTAATTACGGTTAGGTCCATTCCTGGTGGCTCTTTCTTTACTCGCACACCGCAACGAAAGATATGTATGTGGGAGGGCCGAAGTTACTAGCGAGGAGTAGGTTGTAGTGAGTGATAGAAGATTGGAGAGGGAGTCTTCGGTAAGGAGACCTCCGTCAAAGTTAAGCAACCTCTTTCAGAGAGGTAATCATTTACTTCGACAGCATAGCGGCAATACTAATTTTGAGAGCGCTCCCTGTGCACTCAAAGTTAGTCAAGAAGTGTCTCGTCACACTATCGATAGCATTAACGTACTGCATTGTTAGACCCGTTTGTGTAATTGGCGTAATTGTTAAAAACTGCAAAGCCTGAAAACTAGATATCCGTTGTCCTTTAGCGGTAGATTTATGAATCTGCGTAAGTTCAGCAAGCGTTGGTCAACAACTCGCTCTTGTACGATTGCAAGATCCTTTCTTAGTTTAAAACGCAGGACGCCCACAGAAACACTTGCTCCAAGCAGGGTTTTTCTTGCCGCAATTGTTAGAGTTCTTACTGGACGTTGTCCAATAAGAATACCACTGCACATATTCGCATATAAATTAGGTACATATTATCTAATATCCATTGTCACCGCAGTCACCGACGCATTATCGCAACATGTAATACAAAAGTAAGAAAAAGAATTTTGAAAATTCCATAATAAAAAATAAATAAAAAGTTTTTAGATATTGGAGCACACCACTGGCTAAATCAAATAACTGTTCGAAAATGGTTCTATAAGGTATGTGTCTAATGTTTTTCTATCCAATAAGATTGCAGCCTGGAATTTCTACTTATAGTTTGGTATCTTTACTAACTAGTTTAAACCTTTACTGTAGAGTTACTTCAAGTTGTACGTATTTACTGTGTTTATGACTTTTTCCCGGTGTGGCATCACGTTCATATGCACATGCGTATGTATGTATATATTATTTGGCTACTGTCACTGCCAACTGCCAACTACCAATGTTCGACGTTGTCCGTCTGTCCGTTTAATAATAATACAGTTGGCTGTGCTGTTGTTTCTATTACATACATTATATACAAGTATGTAAGTATATATCAGTGTATATCAGTGTATATTCCGCAAGAAAGTCGAATTTTTGTGCACCAAGTTCACTAAGCGTTTTACCTATGGTCTCGGTGGTGCCATTTGGCCATCGCGGAGTTAGGCTTTGTGTGTCATAAATTGTGCTCCATTTAATAAAAAGTGGTGATATAGGTGAAATGTAAAAGCTATCTAAAAAAATTCCATGAAAATAAATTGAACAATATTACAAAACGAAACGAAACTGGATTATTACATTGTTGCGCGGGCGTCCCAAATGTTTTAAATTTTCTCAAATGTAACCGCAAAACGCGAACTTCTTGCCTTGAGCAATGTTCATCTCGCCACTATTGTAGGAGTTCTCACTGGACACTGTCAGGCACTTTCTCCTCCACTGTGCGGCTTTTGCAAAGCTGAGACTGACACATCTTGGTAATCATACATTCGGCGGTGGACTTAGCCATATCCGAAACGGATATTAGCCGTCGCAACAAATTTGTTAATGGACTCAAAGCGCTTTGTCGATATGTAAGGAGCTGGATCAAAAGCTTATAGGAGTTTTTAGGTACCACAACCTATTTTTTAGGATCGATCTCCCAACCTAACCTAACACTAACTAATGTAATAGTAATGAATGTTTTGATGTCGCTTACTTTACTTAGACCATTTTTTTACTCTACTTTCGTACATACATACATATGTAAAGGAATATATTTCACATTTTTCTGTATCAATATATGTATATATACTATGCTATTGTTTGTATACACATACACATATCCTTGCGTTTGGGAAGCCTTTGTGACATTGTCACAACGCTACTTTCTCAGGCTCAATCTACAGCCGACACTGACCTACCCCAGAAAAAGCAGTGTTCGTACAGATACAGGTTGTACGAGTATTTTGGCATTGCTAGCTATCTAAATTGTGGTTAACGATGCCTTCATGTGTGTACATAAGTATGTGGATGGCAGGTACTGTACTCGAATCTCTGTGTGAGTGCGTGGTTTTGTGTGAAGAGTACAGAAAGGATGCTTACTACTGAGAGTAATAGGACGATGCATATGCATTAACATACATACATACATCAGTACAATACATACACACATACTTATGGACATATGCACATTCAAGTTTTACATTTACATAAATAGATCAGAAAGTTATGTCAAAACGCTAACCAATACAATATCAAATATTAGACTGTTTCGATTTTTACATTAGGTAACTCGTGTAATTCTCAAACTGGGTACTAGCCATGGTAGAGAACTACATAAGAGAGGCTTTTAATATTAGAGATTGAAAAAATTGCCTATTTATCTAATAATTATCTAAATGATGATATAAATATGTGTACGCCCGGGTTTAGACTTTAAATTAAGGCCGGAAAAGGTAACCGCGAAAAACACACATTCATAAATAAATAAATGTACATGTAATAATAGGAATACATAAACAAGCACATATGTATGCCTTTATGCAAAAACAAGAGAAACGGCTTGACGTTGTGAAAATCTAGAACAGTTAACCGAAATCCAACGAAGTAATGTTAAGTAAATTAAAAATGAAAAAAAACAGACCATATAATAAAAAGCACATAAAATGTGTGGAAACACGAGGAAAGAATGCGGACAGACAGCCAGCAAATGGAATGAACACCATACCTACACGCTTACAAACCAACACAGACGTAAACATTTTCATAAACACGTTTCGAATGCAGACGTTGGCTCTTTCACCGAAAACATACAATATCAAATCTAAAGGGCCGAACTGCGCAACGCGAAGCGAAACCTTCAGCGTCACACAAACAGACTGCAACCATTTCCATAGCGCAGAGAGCGAAACATGACGGAAACAACCCTCCAGATGACGTTGACCCCAAAAGGCGGACAAAAACATAGACACACTTAAAAAGTTTTTCACAACTGCGGCAAAAAATCGAGCAAATTGAACTGATGGCGAAACTGATGTTCCCGATAAATGAGAGCAAAGAGCAGAAAGGCGAGGTTTCGCCTTTTACAAAATAAAATGAGTTTAGTCATCGGCGTAAATATTACGAAAAAATCATAAAATGCGTGAAGATGAATGAAGCGTGGATGGCGTCAATGGCAGAACCGGCAGCGGAATTTTTCCGTACTTACACATGCACACATACGATATACCATATATGCACAACTGCGTACTAATTAATTGGGTTGTGAAAGTGGGATTGGAGGCAAAGAGAATAATCAATATGTTAGTAGTACGCATCCGAAATGAAAAAGCAGAAAGTAATATTGTCTAAAACAAAAACAGTACAACAGTACTACTCACACAAATGGACGAAGAGTGCAATAATGAACTGAAGAGCAAATAACTACGAGAACAACAGACAAAAGTTAGCTATTGAAAAGAGGTAACATATTCATTTATGAGCACATGCGGGGGCAAAGTACAGCAACAATAAATTCGAGCACTGCAATAGCGGTATCTTTCTATCACAAAACCTTAAGTTGCTTCGAAATTATATCCTGAGCCTGAAATTTGGGCGAGACCCTAGGTCGCGAGTATGTTGCATTGATTTTTATAAGTTAAAATTAGTGGCCTCTTCAGCCGTTTGCTAGTAGTTCTTTAGCGTCTTTAGATTCAAAACCCAGCAGTCAGCAGCGAACGGGAAACACAAAATATGTAAGTATGTATAGAGAGAAACTAAAATAACTGCAAAATGCTGATAAACAAATAGCGGCACAAAAGAAAATACAATTAAGTAGCTACCAAGCGATCGGCGGGCTGTTGAACGTAAAAATGCGAATCAGCTTCATAAAGCGGAAACGTTAAAATAAGAAAAACAAATGACGATGTAAGACAAAATAGCGGAAAATAATAACAAGCGGAGCATTGTGCGAGCCTACAACTCAGCAAATTTTCGAATTTCGAACTATCGCACACTAGCACACGTGCATTACGGCTATATGCTCTCTCTTGAGTTGAGTTGTTGAGATTACACTCGCCCTGACCCACTACCAATGCAACGATATGTACATACTTATGTCTTTATGGTATAACAGTCAGAGCACAATGTGTGCTTGTCGTATGCGTTTGTTTTGGCATGATTCGGCGTCGGCTGTTCGTATTTATCGAAACCGGCTTTCTTGCACCTCGTAAATCAAGATTTCGGTCTGGCACGGTACAACAAATGCACATATACGTAGTTTTAGTCGCTCACTTCTTTGTTGTTATATTTATACATACATACGTATGTATTTGTTGCATGAATGCATAGTTTGAGGAATGTACGCCAAGGCATAACAGCAAGAGGCAACATAAACAGCACCGACGGCCAAATGAATACGAAGCGTTGCAATTGAATGGACATTCCCATGGTGTGTACTCGTCGAGTGGCGGCAAATATTTCAGCAGTGATCAAAACAAAATGGTAATGGCTTGCAATGCCTCATTGTCTATGAATTTGGGAGAGGTTATTGCCTTTTTATACGATTTGTTGGCGTACATGGTGTGATTGAAGTATGTAAGTTATAATTAGTAATATTTGATTAATTGATGGTAAGTACGAGTGCATGTGTAATAGATTTTGAGGCTATGCGAGTTTAACCTAAAGTTATAGTACTACTATAATAATAATTTATTAATGTAAAGTAAGTTATCCTCTCTCTTCAAGCTTGAATTTGTGTCTTAACATATAAAAAACATTCCACTGAAGTATGTAAGTAGGTCATTTGTTCCATCTTGCAGAGCGACAGTTTCTATACCATATATTAACGTTCATTTAATTTAGCTGGAGACTCAGATGCGTTAGGAAGATGCTTAACACACCTTCGAATGTCTGTGCTAAACATGAACGTGACAACCCATCTGAGTTTAAGAAAGGTTGAGGTTGGGAAAGTAATATCTTTTACAAATTGAAACTTTCGTTTAGAACATAGTCAAATTAATTAGATTTACGGAATGAGATCTCCTTTGTAAAGAAATGGGTTACTACATGACACACCTATGGCAGCTTCACAAGCAAAAATATTAATTTTTTGTAAGAAAAATTTACAAGTCAAAGTGGCTTAAAATATCGAAACTATTCTCAAAAATCGTATACTTTCGATCATTACCTGAAAAATATATCTAAGAATGTCGTGTGAAAATTTCAAGCCGATTACGAGAAATTTTCTTCACCGTCTTTGAAAACAGCGTTTTGAGAAAAACGCGTTTAAAGTTTTGGAAACATTAACGATCCCTCGAAGACATCCTTACTAATACGGTCATATCGCCGAAACTATTTGTCGGATCAACTTAAAATTTTCGGAGAATATTCTCAAGTACATGTACATTCGCAAATGCAAAATTTTTTTTGTTGAAAATTACAAGTGGCTATAACCTATTAAGGTGTTATTGAATTCCAAATGTTTCTATTAGTTACAAGCCTTTTACACATAAGTTTAATTTTGTTGATTTGGCAACACTACAAATGCTAAAGAGAGGACACTTATTTAAGTCGCGACTGAGCAGTGGAGCCTCGATAATTGTTAATACTAATTAATACAAATATCGAAATAAATGCCAAAAATCACCGCCTTAGGAATATGAGTGGTCAAGCTGTAGGCGTATATAATTATCATTACATAAATACATACTATACATATGTACATATATATGTATGCTCTTGGAATAGGCACTTAACAATTTAGCATAAAATAATAAAAAGAGTTATGTATATTTAGAGAGATACATACATATTTATCACCGCGCAATTAAAATGTATTAGAATATTCTAATCTAATAATCTAACAAAGCAAATCGCAGTGTGTTTACTTCGCAAGAATTCAAAATATACAGAATATATGTATGTTATATAGATACATGCATATGTGCAATAGTATATCTGGTATATGTACATATGTATGTATGTATATGTATATGAAACGACGCGCGTGTTAACATCGCAAATCGAGAGCCAGAAAGAATAAACACAAGCAGTAGAAGCTATAAAAGCAACAACATCGTCTTTGTTGTACAAAAGCCAATACAGATCCATGCGCATACAGCGGTGTGTATGTATGTACACGCAATCGTGTGTGTGTGCGTGTGCTCGTGTATTTTTAATCATTTCATTGCTTGTGCGCCGTCACTGCCATTCAACGCAAAATGGTGGCGCTGACTCTTGGGGCCGTCATATTAAATTTTTGTAATTTTGTTGTTATTGTTGCTAGCGCGCTTGATTGCTTGCTATTGTTGTGTTCAGGGAACCAATGAAAAATGGGAATTGGAGTGGACTTGTACAATTGTTTATTTACACATTCAAAGTCGTATCAATGAGTATTAAAAAATTGAATTCCATCGAAACTTTCCACCCGCCGTTAAAAGTATTATGTGATTTTGTTTACAATTTCTTTTCTATTGGAGCCCAAGGAAATTTTTCTTATCTTTAATAACTTCTTTCCTCGCGGGTTTTCATCCAATATTTTTTGAATAAAGCTACACCAATTTTTCGCTGTAATTGTTAGCTTATCTTGAAAAAGGTGAAGAAAATATTTTTTTTCTCAATGCCTACTTTTAGTTATATTTCTAACTGAGAATTGAAAAATTCCTAAGAACAACAACTTGAGTTTATCATGTAATCCTTGTGATTTTGAGAAAATTGTTGCAGTTGTTTGAAGTTAAACGCACATGTTTTCTTGAGCAAATTAAAACTAATTCTGCTGAAGCATGTCCAAACGCATAAGTTAATACGTTAACTAAAAAGGAGTCAAATGAATTTAGAAACGTCATAACATGCTTATATTGTTTAAATTGTGCAGACCCCTCGAAACTTGTCAACCGCCTTTATTCTTACAGACGACGAGAGTAGCCAGCTATTATTCGGCTGCAGACGTGCGCACTTGTTTATATAGTGTTCCAGTGCGATTTGCTTCTTCCATGATGTTTTATTGCTGGCATTTAGCCACAACGCTTAAGACCAATTGCAGCAGATTAGCATTATACATACATATATGCACATACATACGTATGTACAATATTATGCGTATTGTTAGATGTTGTTATTTATGCTTATTTTGCATGCTGTGTGACTCTCTTATTTTTTCATTCGCATCTACACTGTACTCTAGCCAAAATTTCTATATGTATGTATGTATTTTCTTGCAGTTCCAATTCAACTCCCTAGCAGCTGCTCTCTACTCGTCTACTGGTAAATTAACGGCAGTTTGACCAAAAATGGCATTACACGTATTCCCACTTCAACTGTACTCCTTTAGCCCGACCAAATCCGAAGCGTCATCCGATTTCCGACAACATACTACGATTTCTGTTTTCACTTCGTTTCACTTTTTGTTGTGTGGCACGAAAGGTGTGCGACGAGCGGCAGGAATGTGTAAAATTTGTAAAACATGACAAATATATGAATGAATGAAGCTGAGACGCCTCGTAAAACAGTTGTAAATGCCATATTTGTTGTTCTGTCTGGACTGTCATTTACTACTCGGAATGAGCACTAGTGGAATCGTTAAGTTACATACACTTCTTTGTTCAAATGCATGTACCTGCTCGTACATATGTATGTATGTAAATATGAATAAACAATGTTCAGCCTCTTTGAGGTGTTGCACAACACCGACACACTGCAGTAAAATAATGGCCTAGCTTTTACATGCCGATACACTTGTTGTCAGGGGTTTGTGTTCAAGGAAGAGAACGGAAGTACCATTCAACCCGTTCTATTGCTGTTGTTTACATCGCTCGGGTGTAAGCTTCAGTTGGTTCATTCAACTAGCAGACGGAAGCTTAATCTCGGCAACCCCAATGAAGCTGCATGCTGGCGTAACACCACTTGCAGCTAGGGTTCGTATATATATACGTTTAGAAAAATTAATCATCAATGACAGGGTAGGTATCCGTTAATTTGGTAAATAATGTAAATATGTATATGTAGATTTTGAACTTCCTAAGTAGATTTGAGGCGTGATACAAAGTTTGAATGCTGGCAATCGCCTGACTGCCTGTTCATATTTTGTTCTGTTCGCTCATTTTCTTCGTCATATGTTCGTCAGCTTCAGGGCCGCATATGATTACACTTAAACATTAAAAGTCGTCGACTTCTTGTGGTCTTACAACCGTCTGTCGATCCCACATACATATATGTGCCATGTGTTCGGGTGTGATCCCAAATATGAGGCTATCTACGCTAACAACGGCTGCTCCCGAAATGACTGTCCACTTATCAGGGAAGGCATATAGGGGTTTCCCATTCCACCAAGGACCCTGCAAAGTTTTATGTTATCTTCCAAACGAATTTATTTTGTTTTTCAGTAATCGTTCTAGAAATTTCGGTATCTGTTGCTCTCTTTGAAATATGCTGTTTTTGATTCTCAAACTTCGATTCTCTCTCTGCTATAGATAATCCTGTTTGAAATTAAACATTAACACCAACCATAACAGATAATCAACAAATTGCCCATTAAAGTATTACGAAAATTGCTCGATACTCGTCTAGACAGTAGCTACACACAGAACACAGGACACCTCTTCACACGCTGTTTGTAAGCGCTCATCTCTTAGTAAGTTTTATTGTATATACATATATAAGAAGGTACATAGTAAGGTAAGGAGGTGCGGGCAGTAACTAAAATATCTGGAGTTTCAAAAAAAGACAAAA